AAACCAATCAACGCAGCTTACGTGCATGGAATCCTCTTGGGATACGAGGTCAGACTCGCAAAGGATGACGGGTCAACACTGACGTGGATAAGCAAGAGACTGGGCCCAGAAATACATCACATTTTGTTGGATGAATTAGCTCCCAACACATGGTATTGGGTAGTGATCTGTGCCAGGACATCTAAAGGTTGTGGAAAAGAATATTTTGAGCTAGTGCAAACTTGGGAAGATGGTGAGTTTAGTCTTTGGCGGCAGTGAAAGCGTTGCCAGGATGTTGCACGTGTTTCAATTGCGACATTTGAAGAACAAATAAAATTCTTAATCTCTCCTCTCTTGTCTTTGCCTTCCTGTTTAAATCGATATTTTGATAGTAATAGCTTTTTTCTTTGTTTTTTTCTTTTTTGGGAGGGGGGTTACATTATATTAATTGCTTTAATGAAATTAAAAAAAAAACAAACAACAACAGCAAAAAATAAAACCTACACAAAACAAAGAGAGACTCTTAACTACGCTTTTATTATGTTTTGAGTTACTGATATGGGGTTTTTAATTTTTTTCCCGAAATATTTCTATAAGGTTCTCGATGCCTTTTTATCATTATTTTTATCTCTCCGTCTAGTTCCCAGCATGCCTCCTGTGGACTTCAAAGCCTACAAAATTACATCCGAAGCATTCATTAATGTCAGCTGGAGTCCAGTCCCTTCAAATCACATCAACGGCATATTACCAGGCTACTCCTTAAAGTATCAAAGAGTTCAAACATCCGAGAGGCAAGTCTCAGGCGTAGACGAGCACACACTGACTTTGAGGCCAACAGATCTTTCGGTTTCCCTACATGTCGAAGCGTACTCGATTTACAAAATTGGAGTAGCGGCTTATACTCGGAAAGGCATGGGACCGTATACTGAATATGCTTACGCAGGTGAGTACCCAGATTAGGTTCCTGAGTAAGTAACCGCGTGAGAAAATGAGTGGGTGCCTGAGGAGAATCTGATAAAATACCTGAGTGAGTACTTGAGTGCATGAGTGAGTACCTGAGTGAGTACCTGAAGGAGGCCCTTAGTGATCACCCGAGTGAGAACTTGACCCTTTCATGTTAAAATGACCCTAAATACGCTTTAAAATCAAAGGACAAGTTATCTGACAGAGTATTTGCTGCTTTTCACAAGAATCCTGCCGTCGCCCAAAAGTTCTGTACACAAATTTCTGGTCAACGTCTCCATATCTGAGAGTGAACAAGGGCGACAACAGGATAGAAGGAATTTTCAGCAAAATTGTGACCGATATGATCTTTACAGCTTGTGGCCTTTGCCCTGGTCACGGTAGTTCTACTATAATCGAGATTACAACCAATGGAAAAGGAGACTCTTCTGGCAAGAAAAGTATCTCGGAAGTGCTTGATGACATCGATGATGTTCCACAGATTAGCTTTCCGATCTACGGCAACAAATACATTACAAGATACCTGGGAGCTTATGCTTATATCAACCTTGTAGATTCGCCTGGAGTGGCATTCATTGCTGCAAAGAGTCTCCCCGGATCCGCGGCTAAGAACATGATAAACGCTGTTGTAGAATGCATTCCTATGATTATATTGTCAGCATGTATGGCTTATATTTCTGGATTCATCATTTGGGTCTTGGTAATTAATTATCTATACCATTCAAGAATCTTTTAATATGAATGGAGAACCTTTAGTGATTTTCTGTATCTTCATTCACTAAATGCCTACATTTGCATGCTGTTTACCTTCTTTCTGAAAAAGAAAAACACAAAACACAAAAGAAGCAAAGAGTGTAGCTTTCTAGAAATTCAACAATAACTAACAATAGCTTGTCCCGTATTAATCCCCTGAGCTCAAATAATATACCGTTTCCAAAACTATAAGTACTTCTTAGCATGAAATATTTCTCTTTCTCTCTCACATTTAATATACCTCTTCTTCAGGACTCTAGATTCAACCCAGACGA